TTGATAAATAATCAACTGAGAAGTTAGTGTGGTTTAAATTTCTTAGTTCTCAACAACTGCACTTGTTTTGATTTAATTTGAATTTTGTCGTTGGACGAAATATACATAATAAACAATGATTCAAAAATATTAAGGTAAATAATATATTAATCAGTATTCTGACCCTTTGACTATATTAATTGTAGATACTGGCATTTTTCTTCTACGAAAGAACTTTTTTCCTGACCTAGGTTTAGAATAATATTGCGCACCTAGGTCGGGTAAGAGTATAAACTTTGTACGTATTAAAACTGTAGCGTGGCTTAAGTTTGCTGCTTTCAGTCATACAAGTTATATATATTTTTTTATTAAGAATGAGTATTTAATGTTGTATGAAAAATGAATTAAATAACCGAATATTTATGAACCTAAAAACTATTGTAGATCCACGCAGTTTTCTATATACATACGTAGTCATACAATCAGTTTTTTATTCGATTGTCATTTTTTTCTTGATCTAGGTAGATTTTTATAATTAAATAAGAGCCTATTGCAATTTGAAGTTTGCTATTTATCATATACTAACTATATCAGAATTCTGACCTAATTTATGTTTTAACGTTGGTCGAAACATGAAACAATTAAAATCTAATCTAATCGATTAAAGTCTAAGAGCAAACCATAAATACTTCATTATTGAATCATTATTATCGTAGATAAATATATTGGCATGTCTGTGTCATTATTTAATGGCAAATATTGAAGTATTTCTACATATTATAAGGCATCATTCATATATCGACGAACCGAAAATCGTTATTATTTTTGTATTCCTAACTTCTGTAATCGACAAATGATCGAAAATTTGTTGATTCTCTCACTTTCTACCTCTCTGATGAATAAATAAATATAATCAACTATTTATATTTGTACAGTATAATGATGAACCGATGTGGCTAATCGTATTAAATCACGATCCGATTTATAGATGTGAACGTTTGTTCATCATCGATGGTTCGTTTTTTATTTGTATTTTCTAACAGTAAGTTAGAGCGAATTTTCGATATCTTTTATGATATATTTGTATACACCAAAGATACTTACCTAGATTTTGTATGTTTATTTAATAGAATAAGGTCCTTACTTCCACTGTATTTCTTTTTTATTATATATTTGTGTATGTTATGCAACATGTTTACCAATTATAAATCAATTTAGAGCTCTGTTTTTTTTTTTCTATAATCTAAAGGTTTTACTTCCCTGTTTGTTTTGTACTAATTTTGTCAGGATTAAGTTTTAGTGGAATAAAATTTAAAAAATGGTAATACTGGCTTTTCCTATCTCAATTATGATAAAATATACTATCTATGAAATTTAATTAAATATTAACAGCATGAGAATATATTTGATCTTGTCTTTTTTATCTATCTTAAATACTATATATATATATATATATATATATATATATATATACTATCTTTTTCATACAAGGTTAATACCTAATGATTAATAAAACTCAATAATCTTTTCTTTGGAAACATAATTGTAACACTCCCACTATCAAAATATTCTTTCGAATTATGATAAATACTCTTTCTGTTACACCCTGTATATTTCCAGATACTGTGACGAGACAGTGACGAGTGACGGTACTGGTCTTTGAATCAACGTGTTACCAATTAACATTCGGCGTCCTGGAGGTTTGTATTGATTTAGTGGTTTGACGTATGATATTTTGACGCATACACTAGTATCTATACAATCCAACGTTATTGTGTGCATAGTTGTTTCAATGCCATATTCCCGGAGATCTCTATATTTATCAGTCTGGTCGGACGTCGGGGAGTGGTGGCTAGAGAGGGGGGTATCACTACCGCGCAGGTACTAGGTAGGTCAATGACGTCCGTTCACCCAATGCAGGCTTTGCGCGCACAGAAACTAGGGCGGCTATAACACCCTTGGAACCGTACCTACTGCACTTTAAATACCCCATGTATCCATCTCGCATTTCTTTTTACGCTTCACCCGTTTTGTACCTTTGATCCTTTTACCTGTACCAAGATGAAAGGCCCTATTTGTTTCGTTTTCTAAGTATATATATTTTATTTAGTAATATATAGAATTCTTATAATTACAGGGGGATAATATACTAGCAAATATATATTATCGTATTTAATTTATTCAATTTAAAATGTAGTGACGCACTTTCAATGTTAGCAAATTTTCTTATAAAACCTAAACTTTACAGTCTTTATTTATAATTCTCTTATTGTGTATCTCTATTATGCAGTTGTTAATGCAATACGATTTAATATTGGCTCAACTTTTATGCAATAATTATTATCACTGGCTTGACAACATTCCTTAATAAAATTAGGACGTAATAAGTAATAAAATAATAAAATACAAGTATCTGATTTAACTATTTTATTAATAATAAAATATTGATAATTTAACATGCATCTATCTATTGTTAATACATTGATATATTTACTATTTTCTTGACCTTGTATGATCCGGTTTGAATGTCGATCTCTAATGCTATTATCTTTTATCAGCTGTAATTTAATTGTATATAAGTTCTATTAAGTATTTTAATTGGATATAGTAATAATATATTTATTTATTCTTTATAGACCATATTATAAAAAGTTTGGTACAAAAGGCGAAGTTAATATATATTGTAAATTATTTAAATTTACTGATGACAGTGTAGAAGTATGCCTTATTTACTAAATTTATTCATTATATACTAAGTTGCTATTATTTCTGGACTTGAAATGGAACTGTACTTTTAGAAGGATTTTGTCATCGTCGTGGTCTCTTATGGCATTAATCACAATTATATAAGACAAAAGTAACGAAATATATGAATAAATTCAATTATTTAAACCTTTACCCATCGTTTATATGATTTTATTTTATGAATTTAATCTTATAACATTTTCCTCGTCTTTGTTTTCATATAATAATATTTTCATTCTAAGAACGAGGTATAAATTAGGTCTAGGTTTTGAGTCATGCAAAATAACCATGTTTATGTGATATTTTATAGTTGACCAACATTTAAACGATCTATAATATTATTCAAATTTGAGTCGGTGAATAGGTTTACTCTTTAATGCGGAATAGCTAGTTATTTAATAGATCTTTCAAGTTGTCTTCACGCATTTACATACGTGTGGTAATCCAATGAAAGTATTGAACAAGAATTAGAACGTTACGTAAGGTTGCATACAAAGCTGACGTTAGCGATAAACTAGCATCGACTAGTACGAAGTGCAATAAGTACCAAAGAGTACTGGAGCCTTCGCTCATGTACTTGTAAAAGTAGATAGAATGTCTAAGTCAGCCAGGCCAGTTGGAGCCAAGGCTAGGTTGTATATTTCTGTCGAAGTATTTCAAACGTTAAATCATGAGCAGAACAGTCGAGGATCGTCTGGCAATGCACTTCAATGACGTTCGTTGACTCGAGCGTTCGATGTCGGCGCAGTGCTGTTTTCCTTCTCCGTTTTCATGCATTGATATTAGAAACTATTCAAGCTATTTCTAATATAAAAATATCAATTTTAATAATAGTGTTAATTTTCACATCTATAATGTACAATTAGTACTTGAAAATCGCAATTAATTATATTAAAAACATATTAAAGACAAAACTCAAATTATGGTTGAAATATTATTTTTTAGACTGATTAACGCTATACCTATCATTGTATTTTTTCAAAGACATGTTAATTCAATATAGAGTCGTTGTATTTGTGTTGAGGATATACCTATATAAACCGGAATACATCTCACTTATAAAATCATTATGAAGGAAACAGAAGCAATTTCATATTCAAATTGCCAGTATATGAATTACATACTTTGTTATTTTTAACAGTAAAAAGTTGTTTTATTTGTTGTCTTATCACCATCATTATTGAGCTATGGTACAGTGGCGAGTCTTCCGCTGTGGCACATGTCTATTGAAAATGTGCGGAACGCAAGAGGTCAGTTTTGACTGGTCGGTTGTACGTGAGGTGGCTCGGAGCTAGTGACCCAATTTTGCAGCTGCTGGTTTCAGCAGCGACGAGGGGCGTCACGGGGGCGAGCGCGGCGCGCGGGCGGCGGACGCATGTCAATGCCGTTCGTTGACTCGAAGCAGCGGCACCGACGCGGCCTCCGCCTTACATAACCATCGACAATGAGTGCTCGAATGCGTGTGATGTACCGTGTACCTACCAGTCTATGATCCCTCATGAGAAAACCCTACTTTGTTTATGCTATGGTTTGAGGGTTACTTTTACATCATTTGTATTGAAATCATACTATATTGGTTTTATTTTATTAACAATAATTTGATTAACCTTTATTAATAAATTTATTTATTTTATTTACACAATAAACCATATAAGAATTTAAAGAGCATATAGACAGGATCAAATATATTAATAGTGACATCAACAAATAACAACATTAAATTGTAGATATAAAAAATTGTAATTGACCTATATTAATGATGGTAATGGTAGCTACGTCTTCTTGTATGAATGAATGAATTTATTGCTCCACTCGTGGAGTAGAGAACGCCAATAGCATGAAGTTCGCCTTGCGTACCAAATTATTAGTCAAAAGTCTATAAATAAATGTAAGTACCTATTAAGGAATAACAACATTAACGCAATTGTTCCCGGGGGTATGTTTGAATGGAGTCATTATGAAAAGCATCGCTACGACGCATTCAGGGGCGCAACAATGGCCGCGTGAGGGCGGGCGGCGACGTTCCGAAAGTGAAAGATCAAAGATGCGCGAGCGCGGTGGGGGGAGACGAGGAGGGTCGCGAGCACGAGCGGAGCTGCGCGCCGGTACTAGCGAGCCGAGTGCAGCGCGCCGCAGCCTCACGCAAACAAAACTTTAGTTACTAACCTACTTCCGTGCGGGCGCCAACGCGAGCCCGACTCTCGCTCCGTTGCACGCTCGCTTGTTCGCTCGCTCGCTCCTGTGACCACTACCACGGTATTCCTATGACACGTTACAGTGATGAACTGTTTTATGAAAACGATTTTATAGAACTCTGCGAGGCGCGAACTTTGCTCTTTAATGGACACAAACACGATAAACCTAGCCGGGCCGAGCCAAATGAACAAAATGTTTTACGGTGAGATGATGTGTTCGTCTAGTATTTAAAGCTTTAATGTTTACTGTATTTTCTTTCACGTTGGCATGCACTTCGCAGATCTCTTGTTTTCATTCATTCGTTTATTATAAAGGCGGCCACGCACTCACCGCACGTTATACGTGTTTACTTACGAAACTTAATGTAGGTATACCTACTCATTTTAATAAAAATGAAAAATATATAATGAGCTGGCCAGAAAAAAAACAACAACTATCTTTAAAAATACTTAAAATAATAATATTTTACAAATATACGTTTTAATATTCATCTCTATTTTTCCGTTAGAAATTAAACTTGTCTTATTTTTTATTTACATTTGTGTCGTAAAGTTATGACGACCAAATTTTAAATACATTGTAAACACTTGGCAAAATGTTGTTCATTATAAACTACACATCATATTGCTTCGATTATTACTATTCTCGCAATCTGTGTGACTTTATACACTTTATATTTTTTTATTTACCAGTTTTGCACCAAACACTAGTAATTTTGTAGAAAAAATAGTATAATTGCACTATATTATATATGTATTTGTTTTAAATTATTAGTTTTACAAATACTTATACGTCTATGTGTAAAAATAATTTTAGTATTTGTGTTATTTTTAATAAAATATCTGTTATAGAAGTTTTTAAACATTCTCGGCATTAGTCGCCATGTTGTTTTACTTATTTGCTTTCAACAGTACCGCCATCTATCGGAAAATCTTTAAATTAACAACGAACAAACGGGAAAGGTACTTAATTCAAAAATTAAGTATTTTACCAATTTATTTTAATATGTATTATTTAATGTAATCATAATTGATTTTGCTAACAATAATATTTATTTGCTCAAATGATATATATACTAATCGAGTAAAGCAATTTGTCAAATTTATTATTATTAACTATATATTCAACATTGTTTTACAAATGACGTTAATGATCTGTGGCTATATTCCAACCATTACTAATGCATTATTACTAGCGCAGTAACCGATTTGCACACCCACAGTTACACATATAGACAAGTAGTAGTATACGAATAATAGCATTTCAGTACTACGATGTCATAGATAATCTCACTTTATTCTCACTTTTTTCGGCACTTTAAATAATAATAATGTTATAATTATTTAATATCGTGATAGTATTGAGTAAAATGACAAATAATCATATCGATTATCTGGTCCTCAAACTTAGATATCCTATGCTATGAGAAACTAAACAACAAACAAAACTCAATATAGACTTAAATCAATAAATATAAAAGAGTTCAACATATCATTTGTAAAATAAAATATTGAATTCCTATTAAAATAGTAAATATATTTTTCTGATCGATAATGACTACACGACGTTGTTTTCATTTATATTTCCATAACTTTCTGTATAATATTTGATGAAATGAACGGAAATTACCTATTTACATGGATTTATAAATTTATTAACCAGTCAAATATCATGAATTCATGTATCTGATAAAAAAAAATAACGCTAGCTATGCCACAATATTCATTCTTTACCTTTTACGAGTATGTTACATTCGCTTATAAATAATGGCCTTTTTCGCTTCGACTTTGATTCGAATCGAGAACTTTGTGAGTTCTCTAAGTACTGGTAGTGTATCTATGAAACCTATCGTTTGCGTACTCGCGTATGAATGTGTGCGTTGATTAGTGCTGTGCCTAGTCTGTGGTGTGTGCGTTTTTTGACGAAAACGCGCATACGGAGCCGTCGTATGGACTCTGCGAAACTGGGTCGGTTCAGTGACCCATTTGTTTATCTAACGATTGCGGCTCGGGCGCGAAGCCCTGCCCGTAGTGGCTTGCCGTGTTATCACTAAACTATCACCACGCGCTCGTATTTCGTTTAGGCTATCTCTCAAGCAACCTGTTACAAATACGTATACTTACGCACGCATCTACATAATCGAGTTACAAATTACATACATACAAGTAACTTTACAAATTTAACATTGATTTCAAAAATACTGGTTTATTTCGAAGCCACGTGTTTAGTAATTAATACTTGATTTCAAAACAATGTCGAAGAAAAATAGAAAGATATATTTATTTATATATTTATTTTCAACCAACTTCAAAAAGAAGGAGTTAAAGAATTTTTATGTTTGCTACCTCATGACTCAATTAGTTCTAAACCGATTTGGAATTTTTATATGAAAGGATACACTTACGGATTAGTCCCATAGAAATTTAATCAAAATCAGTTCAGTAGTTTAGTTTTTAGAGGAAAATAACTGATATTGTCACAATTGAAGTAAATTTTTTTTATGAACGCAATCTCGAACACAATTTTAATAATTTAAGCTATTAATACTGTTAAATATACTGGCTATATTTGCTTCGTCTACTATTCGCAGAACTCTACCAATATTAAGTAAAAATATTTTTACTTAAAATTGTATAGTAAGTTATTTGTAATTCGTTCCTCAGCTAATAAAGAAAAGATATAACCACGTAAACAAACCACGTACTCAGAACACACGTTTACAATAATTGTAATAATTATTATTAATGTCAGTTAAGCTTGCTAAAAATAGATATAAACTTACCAAAATAATTATATTACTTTCTCCAACATTTATTTATGTTAAAAATCTCTTTTGGCGCCATTACTCTACTGAAATACGGTGCATTTATATGTTATTAATTAAATAAAAATATATACATATATTGTGCAATTTTATGCTTTATAACTATGGACTTAATTTGTAATTTTGTGTAAATTGCTATGAAAATGTAAGTTCGCTCATCAAGGTCGGTGAAAGTAGAGGAAAACTGTATGCGAATGTGACGTCACATGTTAATGTTTCATGCCAATATGTGACTTGGGATTTTATGTTTAAAATGTAATTTTGTTGGTTTTTTTTTTTTTTATTTATATTTAAAAGAAACTGAGTACAGAAAGATCTATTTCCACCTCAGTGGTATAAAATAAATTCCAGATCTATAAAAAATATTTATTTAAATTATTGTACAAAAGATGGACTTAATGCTAGTATCGATTTTTACTAGTCAACCTTTGAAATGAATAACGAATTATTTTATAAAATATATTTTTAAACAAATAACAATACATTTTTGTAAACTTTAAAGTTATTCCGTCTTGCAGCGACCTTAGATTACACCATTACTTTTCATCCCTATTACAGCGTACAAAATTACTATACTACTACTTTATATTAAAATACCCTTTGGTACTTTATCATAGTGAAGAAGTGTCGTTAACACTAAAAAGTAGCTTGTAAAAATATAAATCTAATTATATTAGGTGCACTATACATATTTAATTACAGGAACGTAGGTGGAAATATGGGCGCGCCGAACATAAAGTAGGTTTCGAGATCCGTCATAATATCCGTTCATAACCCTATTTTACTAATACTATATATACACCATATCATATACTATAAAATTCCTTTACCGTCCCATTGCTGGGCACAACCATTTCTTACCATTAGGGTTTTAACCGTCTTGGTATAGGGAATTATTTTAAGATTTCATTCTTGTTTCTACTCCATTTTCTTACTCGTAGATCTCTTACGACATCCTGTAAATGACATAAGTGGTCATAAATTGTCTATTTACTACATTAGATCAGGACAATGTAGTAATAGTGGCCTATTATTGTCCCTTTATGAGGAGACTCGTGTCCAGTAGTGGGCCATTTATTGGTTGTTATGCTTTGTGGTATTTATGATGGGTGAAAATGGAATGGTAACTCCACCTGCGCTATCACTACATGCTGCCGAGATACCACTGAGAAATGTTAAGTGAGGATGAAAGTAGGTTAGTTAGCTTGTCATGACGAAATCCACAACAATTAACTACTATAGTTTCCCGAGAAACCGCATGGAGGCCCATTTGAAAGGGTATATTGCTAACAATGGATGTTTTAGATCTCATTACTAACAATTTCTTTCCCTCCTATATATACTTTATGATATATCTATGAGTGCAGTTAAGCATAGATATAGTTAACACTTTATCAATTCACTATACAACTGAAAGCAACAAAATGAATAATATAGCTTAAAAAAATATGAGGGTGTATGTTGGGCAATATTTTTCTTTTTGCCATTACCATGCCCTGCCGTATGGTCCTGGCATAGAATAAGTTATCCGTTTCTTTCCACTGGGTGTCGTAAAAGGCGATTAAGGAAAGGCGAGGAATAGGTAACAGCGTCTCTCTTAAAAGATCTCCAAAGCCTAACTGCGGTTTCCAATCCGCCTGCTAAGCGTGGCAAGTATTGGGAAAACCCTCCAAGGGGGTGGCTTATATTCAGTAGTGGACAGTTAAAGGCTGATATGATAATAATGATTTTGTTTTTATATTACATGAAATCTTTTAAAGGGATTAATCCCATATTGCTACCATATTCAACTCAACTAAAACTGGTTTGCTTTATGTAAAAATCTCGAATTATTGTGTGCAGTCTTCGTTGGGATTACAACATGATTTGCCTCAAAATTACAACCACCATACCGGCAAATTATGTTGAGCAGTAATGCACAGCGTGTAGTCTTAGCAATTATAGTAAACTAAGCTGGTTGCCTTCAAACACTTGAAGCTACTATCGCCCTTCATTTTCGTTAGCGCCGTCTATACTTCGCCTTTATGAAGGTGAACGCCGATCTCGGCTAAATTCATCATTCACATAGTTTTATCTCGTTCTGTTTTATTAAAGCATCAATAAGAGGGAATGAGAAGTGTTGGCTCAGATATTGTTATTAGTAGTTAGACTAACAGCGCACTGTGTAAGGTCGCTTTGACAAAACGTCTATGCGTCAACGAACGGTTGCAAGGTGACGCATTGTCACTAGGAATGTATTAACGTAATAATGTGCTATGTTACGTACTATATATAGATAATCGAGTTAGAAAATTCATTTATACACATTGGATGCGATTACATGAATATATAACGGGCACTTATTTTCTTTTATGTTTAACCGACTTCAAAAAAGAAAT